GTTTGTTCTTTTCGTTGCCGTTCTCAAGTGATCTCTCTTCCCAATCGTCATATTCTCCGTGATCTCTTGCGATGGCGTCTAGATACATATATACAACATGAATTCCCAACCTCGGTCCTTCTGACCGATGTCCCTCGGGGCGAGGGGATCAGGTAACCTCACCCCGTCCTCCTTACATCTCTTCATGTGATTGCATCACATTGAAGCGATTCCGATTGGCCCGTTCTCGCAGGAAAGCGTTCAATATCGCCCCGCAGTTGAGATCGGCTTCGTCGACCCAGGTCGGCTCATCATATCCCGCCCAATGAACCAGGAATTCTCGATAGATCCGACCAAATCGTGTCTTCTTCCCACTCCGCACATCCGAAATCCGCTCGACCTCATACTCATCAGCCCCGAGATCCGGGACCCAACTGTCCTCCGGAAGCAGGATCTCGTCAAAATCTAGACGATCCACCTCATCGACCGTGAGTTCCTCCCGCGGTCGATCTGGAAAGTCCTTAACCAATCTCAACTTCGACACGTGTACCACTGGGAAGATCTGGTACCCTGTGCATTCGATCTCGAGCTTGACGCTGAATTCGTTGACATTTTCGGCGACCCGGAACGGTACGGCCCGTGCCATACGTGAGCCAATTTCCGCGCGTATCCTTCCTTCACTCGATCTAGGTACAACCAGACTCGAGATCCACCCTCAATCTGATGTGATCCTGCGTCCTCGTTGTGTCGTTCAGCTCGGTCTGAGATGGCCTCCTTCAATCTAGTGTTGACTTGTTCTCGGGACGCCACCGCCGTGCATCTCGATCTCGTCGTCTCGTACATCCGACCGGCAGTGTAGCCTCAAGTCGATCTCGGATCCCACCCATGTACTAAATAGTGGGGGGTATCTCCTCGGATCCGATCATGAGCCGTATTGATCGCGAAGGTGAGGCGTTCAGCATATTCGTCCCAATCCTTCTGATCCAGATCGCGAACGTACATCTTGAGCACTCTGGTCGCGGTCTGCACCATTCTCTCAGCAGTCCCGTTGGCCTGTGGACGATATGCCATCGTCGCCCGCTGCCGTTGCCCCAAGATCTTGTTAAACGCCCGGAGGAAATCGGACATGAAACCGGGTTCTCGATCGTGCCGGATCATCTCGCTGGTCCCAAATCGCCGGAACACGCACTCCTCGTACGATTCTGCAACCGTCTGGGCCGATCGGGACGAGCTGGCTTTCGCGATCACATATCCCGTGAACAGATCGACCCATATCAATAACTCGGTGTTTCCTTTGTGTGATCTGGGTAGTGATCCATCGCAATGATCTGGAACGAGTATGTCGCCTGCAAGTTCCTGGTGATTCGCCCCGGATCACCGGTTTTCCTTTTCCTGTTTCGCAATCCACGCATTCCCCCACCTATCGCTAGACGCTCCGGTATAATCCTCTCCAATGGAAGTGATCCCTGATCCGCTGGTAGGTTCGCCCCACTCCTTGATGTCCTCCTTCCAACGTAGTGTGGTAGTGGTGTAAAACGTCCGACTGTAGCGTTTTCGGGAACTACCAATCTCATCAATCGGTCGCGATCGTCTCCCGATCTCGACGTCGGGGGGCAGTAAAAGAGTAGATCCTGCTCGTCTACCTCGTAGTCGGCCGTGATCTTGCCATACGATCTTGCTTCCGCTTGTGTGAGATCTGTGATTGAGCCACTCAGATACTTCTTCATGCCGGCGATCCAGACTTCTTCCTCTTGGGCCTGCTTGATCCGATCGACTCGGATTTCCCGGATCTAACCCTCTTCCATGACACCCGCCGGTGATCTTGCTCGATCAGACCGAGTGGTCACCGCAGCAACTCGTACCACCGGATTCTCGGTCTTAGGGATCAAGATTTCGTC